ATTGAAACCTCATTCAGGTTCTAATGTGGATGTCTTCCTAAACTTATAGTTACATCAACAGTTGTAAATTTAAATAATACAATATTTTCCCTTAAGTAATAGTTAGCAGTAGTATTTGCTATTTAATTATTATTTGAATGCCACTATATGACTAGTGTGAGTACCTCAGAGGTGTAGAGAGGGGTAGCAGGGAGGGACAGATGCCCCTGAGCGCAATCTAGTTAGGGGCATCAAAATGTGCTTTGATATTATATTATTGGTAAAAATAATGGGTTTGAGAGTTGAAAAAAAGAAAAGAAGGCGTTTTAAAATGGATCTTGTCCCCGGGAGCAAATCTTGTCCCCGGGCGCAGAACACCCTCGCCACGCCTCTGGAGTACCTAAATATAAGCCTTTAAAATTATCATAAAAGTCGAGTGTTAAAAATTTTAAATTTTTCTTAACATATAATATAATTTTTTTTAAAATTGTCATTTTTTTAAACTGAGTTCAGATTAGTTCTTCGAGTCAGATTAATTAATTCTTTAGGCCCTATATACCAAAAAACAATAGAAAACATAAGAATTTATAAATTTGTAACACTTAAATTCAGCATGTTAAAATGGAACAAAATATAGCTTACAACTTTCCTTTCTTGTTATAATTATTCATGGTGGATCCTTAAATAATAAACAAGCTAGATTTGTTACCTGCTTGATAAATTAAACACAAAATGTTTTTACTTTTCCAATGCTAAATAGCAAAGTCATGACATAATTATAATCTAAATTCTGTCAGGTCATTATAAGCAATTACTATACAATGAGTAAAGAACAAGAAGCAAATACACCATAGAATGTATTACAATGCTATATTTATGTTGTGTGAAAAATTTTAAATAAATTTACTGAATTTCTTTTGTTTTTTTGTTGACAGCATATTATGCTTTGTAGGAAACTGCTATGTGACAAGTTTTAATGTGGTATAACTGCTGGTATGTTTTGCTTGATCTCCACTGAGCATAGTGTCATGTGGCTGGTTAAAAAGTGCAAATGCCTAAACATTGGTTGTGCTGTGATTTCTTCCATCTATTAATTTGTTTAAACAATTTTTCCAATCCCATCGAGGATTATGTAAATATTTGTGACTTACTTGTGGCTAAAAGTAGTTGACACATGGGCTTGTGTAAAAAAACAAGTAAACTTTGAAATATTTTTCATTTATTTAGTTTCTATAAGACTTTTGGAAAAACCGTGTGAACAGAAATTTGACATTAACACAAGTAAGATAACTTAAATAATGATGCTTACAAATATAATTTCAAATGTCTGTTTGCAAATCAACTATGTGTAATATCTTAGTGATAATGTCAACATTCAAGATTCAACTTTTTGTGGCTAACATGACATGTATGTATTTAACAAAGGCTATTCTACTCAAAGATTTTGATAAGTAACTGACCTTGTAATGTTTTTTTTTCCTATCTTGTCTTAGCTTCAATGAAATGTTTTAAGTTTTAGAAATCTGTTACATTTTTTATTGTAATAAGATTAAATTTAATTATTTCATTGAAATAGTATTTTATCGGCTCCTTGTCCATAGTCAACCTTGACGGCCAACAAGTCACTTTAAATTTTCATAAATTATGAATATAAACCTTGTCATCTCCCTTCACAGATGTATAAATTTAACTTTATCAACTATGCTCAGATCATGAATGCAAGAGAAATAGAGCCATAATGATATTGTTAGCTTTCTCTCACAGTAATGCAATAATGAACTGCCACTAGGAAGGACCCTTGGCAGCTGCTGTCTTTAAGTGTAACCTGATGTACATAATTTATTTTTAAAAATGATTGACTAAAGCAGACAGAGAAAGTTTTTTCCACATTTTTTTTTCAGGTCTTCAAAGATTGTTTCAAGAAGATATGTAAATAATGTTTCAGGTCTTCAAAGATGATTTCAAGAACATATGTACATGTCTTTTATTTAATGATATTTTTTTTAGTTTAGAAATAGTTAAATTGATTATTCATTGGGGTGATTTTAAAGACATTTTTTTTAGAACATTAAGTTGCTTGAAAGCAACACAGTACCAGTACTCCACAAGATATTTGAGCAATTATTACTTTGATTATTTAAATCACATCAGTCATTGAAGAATTATTTGCTTCTCTATCCTGTGATAACTTTGGGGAATAGCAATTAGAAATACTGTGTTAAATGCAATGAGATTGTGTGCCCATGAATTGTAAGCAGTGATTTTGTTCACTGCCACCTTGTACAGATTTTTTGAGGCAAAAATTGCAAATACTGTACTAAATTTGGATTAATGTAATGAGAAATATTACTGTACCACAAATGGCTTATGTTTTAGGAAATCAACATGGCTACTCCCAATCATCACATTATTATGTCATCTCTGCCATTTGATATGATCTCACATCTTTATTTTTGTTGTAATGAATAAATGATGGACGTTTATAAATAAAATATGATTGTCTTTCGACAATCTACAAGAAAAGCCATCACCTTAAAACAATTCAATTATAGCGATTTTTTATTCCAAAACTTAAATTAGTTAGGGTTTTAAATATATTTATAATTACTCAAAAGAGTTGAGTTTATAATTTTACATTCTAAACTTGAATCTACATGAACATCAAGAAGACATGATTTGTGAAAGAGTTAGAAACTTTTTATTGTTACTTTATAAAGAACAATCTCACACCATGTTTATCTGATCTTTTTTGATATAACAATTAGGTGTTGAATTGTTATAGATTTGCTTCAGACTTAAGTCCCCTACAGAGATCTTTTATTATATTTTTAATGATGATTTAATTAAATTAAGCAAAATTATTATTCTTAAAATAAGGCTTTATTTAAACCTGAGAGGTTTCATTTGAAAAGTTAACTTTTGTTGTGTTTCTAACAATTTTTAAAAACTGTGTCTCTTTAACACCCTGAATAATCTTGTAGATCTCTCCATTCATTCTAAGTTCATTAATTACATTAGTTAAAATGTCTTTTTCTCAGTTAGTACTTTGTCTTCTTCTTCCTTCTTATATTTGAGGTGCCCACGATCAATTTGTTGATCATTCTGGCTCCTGGTTTGAATTCAGAGGAGGATTTGAATATTCATGTCAACTTATGTGTCTATATTTAGAAGATCTGAAGTTTGGGTTTTCTTTTTTTTTTTTTTCTAATTTAAGTTTTATTTTATAATGTTATGGCTGGAGGTGGATGGGAAGTCAGAAATTTTACTTAAAATCTGGTAGTAAACATGAAGCAAGAATATTAGATTACGATCAATTTGTTGATCATTCTGGCTCCTGGTTTGAATTCAGAGGAGGATTTGAATATTCATGTCAACTTATGTGTCTATATTTAGAAGATCTGAAGTTTGGGTTTTCTTTTTTTTTTTTTCTAATTTAAGTTTCATCTTATAATGTTATGGCTGGAGATGGATGGGAAGTCAGAAATTTTACTTAAAATCTGGTAGTAAACATGAAGCAAGAATATTAGATGTCCAACAGCTGAGTATGGGGTCACTAATCAAGCAGTTGGATATTTATTAGAAAGATAATTATCGTGAGAAAGCACACAGAAAAAAAGAACTTTGATGTTATTTTATCATCAAGTTGGTGCAAATGGCAGAGTAGCATACATGTTTCTTCTTTGATAGAAATAGCTTGTAGCAACTTTAATTAGATGTTTAAAAACTTATTTAAATTTGTCTGTACATTACTGGGTAATCAAATACTTGTGATAAATGTTAATGATGGCTCCTTCATAAGAAATGTGATATTATTTTTTTAAAATAGCTACTTTGAGAACTACAGCCATATGTTACTTTTCTGTAAATACTGTATTACTTGACCTTTGAAAGGAAATACTATTGAGAGATTTATTTACATACAGAATTTATCATGACTTGTTCACAATGAACTTTCTACAGCTGTTTGATGTTTTTTTTTTCCTGTTTTTTTCTTTACTAGGCCTCTTTGTGATAAACTATTCAGTAGCTGATCCTTTTTTGGTCTCCAAAAATGTTAAAGGGATCCTACTTCAAGAACCTCTATGTTCATTCAAAATGTGTCCTACAGATGATTTCTGAGATTTGTTTGTGTCAATTATCTAAGAAAATTTGAATGTCTAAAAAATCTTACTGTCCCTGAAAAAATTTAGTGTCATTTTAAACTCCCAGTAATTTAGTTTAATTTGCGTACACGTTGTGCTGCTGAAGATGCTAGATTCTGGAGTCTTAAAAATAAGTCTAATTATATATTCTTTAAAAACTGTTTCAATTAATCATCATGCATTTCATTTGATCTAGTGGTAGCTTTAAAAACCAAACCTTTTGTGATAGTTATTTGTAATCATTTGTTTCACTGATGGACAGACACAATATGACTAGCTTCCCCTTGACTTGATCCTTACATTTATTTGTCCTTACAATTAAAGAGTTGTTTACTTTAACCTATAATGAATGTGTTGACTTATATTCAATATTTTTTTTTTTTAGAGAAAAGGGCAAAACAAATTGGTTTTCTAGTCACATTTATGAACACTGAGTATGCATCCTACTTTATATTTAGTGATACACTAATTTTCCTGGTTACTCCAAGTGACTGCACTTTTTGTGCAATGCCAGAGTCAGACAGGGGTGGACAGGGGAGTTCAAGCGGCCCGGGAAAAAAAATCAAAGCGGCCGGGAAAAAAAAACAAAAAGCGTCCCTATCTTCATGACTTTTATTTGTATTATATCACTGGTCCTAGCGGCCCATCGGGAATCTTCCCGGTGTCCCGGCGGCCCAGTCCACCCCTGGAGTCAGAGTATTTGAGAGAAAGAAAAAGCGTTGGAGTTGGATGCAATGTGCTAATTTGCAATTAAATGTATAATTTATTTGAAAAAGCACTAAGATTTCCAAAGATTACAGTGACAAAGCTTTCAAGGATATGTTATGAACATAAACATTTACAGCAGACTGAAAAAGTTTAACTTAAAAAAATTTTGTGTGGCTTTTTATTTTCTTTGTCACCAACTTTCTTAACATTAATAACATTCAAATAAATACAACAAATAAATCATTTTAATCAATGATTACAAACATCAACAAATATAAAAAAAAATGCTTTGCCCATCAAAACCAAGATAAAATAACAAACTTATCATTGGCCTGAGTTCCACCCCTTTGCAATAGTTCAAGCTTGCTTTAACTTGAGGTAGTTTTCAGTAAGCAGAAATGGTGCAATATAGTTATTGAAGCCATTGGCAATTTTCAGTTAACTTTCGCTGCCAATGTGCCAAAAAATAATTATTCTTTTTTTACATGTAAGCTTTTTTTAAGCTGACATAATTTAATCAGAGTTAACTTATGACAATAAGGCCAAGACTGAGATATATAAGTCACCCATTTTTTTTTAAGGCCAAGACTGAGATATATAAGTCACCCATTTTTTAATGATGATAAACGCAGTGTCAAGTGGCAGTGCTAACTCTAAATTACAATATACAATCCTCATTTTTAGTCTTCTCAAAGAACCGATGTTAAGCTGCTGACCAGACCCCATCATCTTGGTCAGGTTCGGTTTCTTTACAATCATCATTATCTTGAGCAGCACCTGAAGGACTCTCAACTTCATCCTGCTCTGCATCTTGATTCTTAGACTCTTGTTTTTCTCTGTCTTGTTCTTCTTCATCTTGTTTTTCTCTGTCTTGTTCTTCTTCATCTTGTTTTTCTCTGCCTTGTTCTTCTTCATCTTGTTTTTGTTTTGCCGCCTCCCTGTCAGCCCTTAACTTTTGCCTTGTTTCCCATTCTTCCTTTTTCTTGTCATCCTCCTCAGAAGTTGCAGAAAATTCAACTCCCTCTGGCAATGGAAAACCTAAAACTTTCTCAATTTGGTCCAACTTCAACCAAAAAGTGTCTTCAGAATCCTTGCAAACATATTGTGAACTTTTATTGATGAACAAAACACCCTCAACCTGTAATCATTTGAAAAGAAAGCAGAATATTTTTAAATTAGTAAAAAGAAAAATTATACAGTCAAATACTGTTTGTGCACAAAAAAGGTTCTGGGAATATGATTTGTCACTTATTTATTTGTAATTGTTTTGGTATATATATTCTGTAAGATATGCTAAGCCGGACACGTAGCAAGATAAGTAACCTCATAAAAAATAGTTTTTATTCAGTACCGGTATTTCAAAACAAGTAGTCCTAATAAATATTCATGGGCTATTCCAACTTCAGAATATGGAGAAACATAAGATTCTGGAAGCCTAAGTCAGAACATTGACATATTAGCAATGAGAAGGGAAACACAATAGCATATTATTTTTCAAAAAAATCTTTTTCACAACTATATTGCAGATTAAGGGTACGACTAAGCCTAGATATTGGAAAAGCACTTGAAACTTTTACCTTATGCCCAGCTGATTTCAGAGCAGACTCTAATTTTGATTGTGAATAAGGATGTTTCTCCAATAACTCCAAGGGATACTGTAAAAATAAAGTTCGACAAATGTACTTTAAATATTAGTTATTATCTGGTACAACCACCCCCCCAACCCTCTGGCACAACACAAAAAGTGAGAACATGACTGATTAAAATAAGATCCTACTTATTCTGAACAAATAAAGATTTACCACATAATTAGATGAAGGCTGGTAAATTCCATGTGTACAGAATAAATTATTCTAAAATTTTTTAAACTAACTTAAGTTACACTGTCTTAAAGATGATAACAAAATTAAATTCAACTCGACTCACTTCATTATTTGCTGAGACTTCTGAAGGACTCTTTAACTCTGAAAACTTGTCAGGTAAACAGAAGAACCTGAATTCAGCCTGTTGACATAGCATATTTCTTTAATAAATTGTGGTTTTTATATCAGGTAAAATTCTATAAAAATTAAAAATCAAAACCCTTTAAACCTAATAGCTCAAAGAGTTTTCAGTTTCATTTGACAGTTCATTAATGGAGAATATTTTGCAATTTGACCTTGTAAGAACAAAGGCCTTAATATTGTGATAGCTTATGACCCATTTCTTACAATAACACCAAGTACATTTAGAGAAATACAGAAAATATTCCAAACAAATAGTAGAGACACACATTGAACTGAAACAAAATATTGACCACTTTTCTTACTTTATACACAAGAATGTTTTTTAAATAAAGCAATAAAATCCTTTGAAGTTGTATATAAATGTTTTTTCTTTATATAAACAAAGGCTTTTCATCTATTACCTCTGTTTCATAATATGGATAGTGTTTCCAATGAAGCATATCTATGATGTAAAAGCATTTCTTGTCTGGGCAGTACAAAGAGTCTAGAATAGTTAAATCTGAAAAAAAATTTAATTAATTAATTTTCCTGATTGAAGTTAAAGATGCAATTTAATCATTTGAAGAAAATAATAAAAAAAAAGGGATGAGCTTCATAAAGAGTTCATCATTTAGTACAAACTTTGTAGAGCATGTTACAGAAAATACAACTCATGGAGAATAAGAAATAGAACTTGTCATTGTCTAGATATTATAATATTGCAAGGAAAACATGAGTTCATTGCCTACTCAACCCTTTACAGAAATTTTGGATTTTCAGATTATTTTTTTAACATTTTTTTAATTACTGGTTATTTAAAAAAAGGATATAAAAAAAATATATCTTCTCATTGACAATAAAATTAAACTTTCTGAAGCAGAACAGAAATCCAAATTTAGATGAAAGACTCATGATATGTTTGGATGAGTGACAAAAAAAGAACTCTTTTTACATTGCAATCATTAGTAGCCCAAAAAAGCTTAGGGTGATAATCTAAAGACGAGCTTTGATAGATATATTTAGAGAGTAGTTCTGTAGAAGAACTTATTATCATTAACATATTTTGTAATGAATAAAAAGTATGGCACAGTCAACTTATTTCCTGAATTAGTACAGCTTTGAAATCATGGCTTTAACAATTCTGGTTCAGCACTAAAATGACTGGATCTCAGTAAAGTTTGTAATATGTGCTTAGGATAGTTATGTGATATAATATGAATGGAAAGGAGATAACTGCATTTACTTATATTAAAATATTATAAATTTGACTGTTCAAAATTTTAATAATAAAAAAGGGGTGTGGGCGAGGAGAGGGCTATATCAGTATGAGACTATTCATTTTTGTCCACACCAGCATAATCTGCAAAATGAACACACAGCAGATGATTTTAAAAATTCTTAAAAATAAGATAACAAATCTCATTTTGCTCATCACAAAAAAAGCTTCCTTCATTAGAAGTTAAGGGGTTGATGTTAAGGACTTGTATGTGTTTAGTGAATGCACCTTGGTTCGGAGAGTATTTGGGGTAGATGTTGCTGTAACATGCTTTGCATTTTGTGACATATTTTGCATAAGGGAAAACGACAAGGGAAACAACCACGTCATTAATGTTATTGTGGTGTGGAACAATAGCATTGCTGAAGTGTTGGATTTTATGAGTTGTTTTATATTTAACAAAGAGATGTTTCTTCTATGAATCAATGGTTTGTTGAGTAAGTGTAACCCCTAGACAACTAAGCTATCCAACTTGGTAATATTGGGTTCGTAACAGTCGACTGACCATCATATTTGTGAATTTCTGCCAGACCAGGATTCCCACTTGGTAAACAAGACTTGAATTTCAAGTCTGTTGCTCCTCCATCCTTATAGGTCTGTGTGATATCCTAATGGAATTGAAATAATATATTTTAGAACTTTACACATTTTTTTAAACTGATAAGTGAACACAGACAAATAATATGGACTAATGCTCAAAATTTATTTGTAAATTAAAAACAGTACACAATTATGTTTTTTTTAAATAATGACTATACTAAACATCAAACTGTACTGGAATTGAAAAGAAACTAATGAAATAGCTATTTTAATTTACGATCCTATTCATTGATGAAAGACGATGAATAGGACAAAAAAATTGTTGCATGTTATGTTGTAAATACTCACATTTGCTGCAACTATTATACGACGTTTACCAGATGGACAAATAATAAATAACCAATCTTGTTCCAAGTTCTCTGGAGCCTTTTCCATGTATGGGGACTGCATCAGCTGTAAGAATTAATTAAACAAAGTTGTGTCATCATTATTTTAAAAACTTACTGTAACATAAAGGTAGCTCGAAATTAAATTACTTAATTTTATATTACTATATTCATTCGATCCGCAAATAAATCCTTTTCCAGAGAACCATTTTGACCTACAAAAAATAATCCCACCAATCATTATTTCAAATCTGAATAATCTTTTCAATTAAACATTACCCCTTATGAAGTTAAAATTTATTTTAATCACTTATCTAGCTTGATTCTATAAACTTAAATTGAAAATGCCAGGTATTAAAATTATTATCTCTAATTATTCAAATTAAGATAAACAATTAATGGTGAATTGTGGCCTGAACATTATTATTCTCATAAATTCATAAACTTACTGAATGCCTGTCAGAAGTTGACCAGTTGTCACTTTCCACTTCTTCCTCCTGTTTAAATCTTTTGTAGTTGGGTCCTTTGTCTCCACCTCTAAAGTCTCTCTTAAAGCCCCCTCTGCCTCGGCTACCACCCCCATCACCTCCTCCAAATTGTCCCCTACCCCTGCCTCCACCACCACCTCTACCGCCTCCCCCTCTGCTATAACTGTCCCTGTCCCTATTACCTCCACCATATCCCCCATAGCCACCCCCTCCACCATATCCCCCATAGCCACCCCCTCCACCATATCCCCCATAGCCACCACCTCCACCATATCCACCACCCCCATAGCCTCCATAACCTCCTCCTCCACCGCCATATCCATACCCATCACCATGCCCGTATCCTCCGTAGTAAGACATTAGGATAAAGGTATACCAAACAAATGTCAGTTATTACTTTCTGTAACAAAAAGATTTAAAAACCTATATTTTTTAAATAAACAAATCATTACTTAAAATTACTAGCAATGAAAAGAACATGCTTTCTTTTAAAAACGTACTGTACCGACGAAATTGATTAAATGACTTCAATGGTGTCTTGAGGTACCGGTACAGGTAAAGTTGTAGATTCTTTGTTTAGGTACTGGTATGGTTGCAATTATTTGGCGGATAATAAGAATGGCCCATAATGACAATATTTCTGCTTAAATACATATGGGCATGTGTTATGAAGACTTGAATAGCTTGAGATAATCAAAAATATAAAAAGATCTTTTTAAAGATATATATTTAATTTTGAAAATCTAGATTTTTAAAATATATTTTTATAGGCTTTGGATGTGGAATATCTTGCTTAAATTGCTGTTTCACATAATTTTATATATTTTTAAAAGTATATCTTAATGATATCTGATATTGATCTTTATAGATTCTGATGTTTTCACGTCTTTTTTTAAATCTTAATAGTTCACAAAATAAGAAAATTAATAGAGATTTGGCAAGGGGGCTGATAAATTGTTCCCCGATTGATTGCATAAATATTTGGATGTTGTCATCTTTGATGTTACCAAAAGGCTTATCATTTCTTATTGCATTTTTTAAAATGTACATATTTTATTAAATTATAGAATTATAAAAATTTACAAGGTAGGCTTTCTGAATTTAGGTCAACTTTAAGTCTTATTAAAAGCTAGAATTTATAGTTTAAAATCTCCCAAAATAAAGATCCAAGATTCGTTAATCTTTTTTTTTTTTTTTTTTTTTTTAATGACTAATTATTAGTCCTTTTTAGAGGTGAATAAGGAAAAATTGCATCCATGCCAAGAACTAAATTGGAGCCACTAAAAACCTTGAGAAACATATTTTTTTTTTTTTTTTTTTTTTTTTTTAATGACTAATTATTAGTCCTATTTAGAGGTGAATAAGGACAAATTGCATCCATGCCAAGAACTAAATTGGAGCCACTAACAACCTTGAGAAACCTATTTTAATGAATTAAGATTTATGAAAAAAAATTATATCAACTGTCGGTAGGATTAACAAATTGCATTGATTGCAAGCCTATTGGAATATTATACATGCTTGCAATGCATATCATATTCTGATACTTAGGATTAGGCCTTGAAATATGTAATAATATTTGATTTCTTAAATGGATGTTATAAATAACTTTAAATACATTAATAAGTTATTAATTAATTGCTGTCAAAGACATGCTGACGTTTTCTGAAAAGAAAGAGACTCTCAAAAGATAGGAGAGGTCTCCATAAGTACAGTGGTGTAGAAAAAAGGGTGCAGGGTAAACAGTTCTCGTGGGGTGCCAGACAAGTTAGGGGTGCCAAAATGGGCTTCCATGGTATTTTATTGATGAAAAATGTGAGTTTAAGAGTTGATGGGAGGCGTAAATGAATTTTGTTAAGCAACCACCTGCCCAAAAAATTTTTCGATGGTGAGCTCGAACAAGGACAGCAGTCTGCTGGTGGGCAGAAGAAGTGTTTTTAAGACAACCTAAAAGCCTCTTTGAAAGCATTCGACATAAGCCCAGACATGTGGGAGGAAAAAGCAAAGGATCGAACATCATGGGGTTCCATTTTAAATGGAAGCGCCATGCAACATGAAGTTGGCAGTACAGTGGCTGCAGAGCGCAAGAGACATGCCAGGAAGGCCCGGTCTGACTCTGCTCTCGAAGATGCCCCATCATTCTCCTGCACAAGAAAATTTCGTGCCAGAATCGGCCTCATTAGCCATCTGGGCACCCACAGACAGGACTAGCACAAATCTGATGATTAAAATGGTCATGGTCGACTCCCGACTTATGAACAAAATATTCTGAATGAAACATAGATTCTTTGTTTTAGTTGCCTACAAATGGTACAGACAGTAACGATACAGTCAGATATCATCATCAGAACATATTAAATTATTGGATTATTAGAGTAAGAGCCCTACAAATAATGAAAAATATATAGCCTGATTTTTTAAATGGAAAGCTTTTTGGGTTTTTCTTTTATTGATAAGATAAAGATAAGATTCTTTTATTCGTCCAAATAAATGGAAATTCTTTTCCATGAATATGAACATGAATATTTTACCAAGACAAACATTTTAAACTAGAACAATTTAAATAAACAACTTAATGTATAAAAAGAATATAATATGCAAGCAGAGCTTGATGCATAGCCTTGCTCTCCCCCAAAGTAAAAGTGAAGTTCTTGAAAATTTCAGCTTAAGGAATCCAATAGTGGAACATGAACTCAAGCAAATAAGAAGGGGAAACATCACTGTCTTTTCAGTTTGCGTTTCACTCATCCACATATTTTCTACATTCTCATCATTTTGTGTGTGGACCTGAGTCCCATGTTGAGTCAATGAAGTTTTATTGATGTAACACAACAGAGTGCTAATAGATTCCTTATGTGATCTGATTAATGTTAGCTTAAACAGATCATCCAAGCGAGACAAAATGTGAACCTGGTAGAATTAGAATATACCTATATCTATGACTCTATTTTATGCTCTCCTGTAAAGTGAGCTTAATCTTAAATCGGTCTGGCACTTAAACAAGAAAAAGCAACAGCACTTTTTTTTCTATACCACCAAAAACCCATTCAATGAGCCATTGGCCTTCTCTCCACTGTTAATGAGAATGGAGGCATTTTTCTGGTAAAATAGTACTTCAGACCAGATAAACACGATTTTTGATTACACTTACACTGAATCTGAATACTGAATAGCCGACACACTGAAACTGACGTGCTAGATTACCCTGCCTTTAGTCTTTTTCTTAAATTAGCATTTACAAAATATACAATAACAATAAAACAGCAACTTTATTTAGCAGAGCAAAGTTACAAATACAACTCAGAACTGAAAAGCACTCACTATAGACTATATAGGATAAGTATACAGTAAACGTATACTTATTTTATTAGACTGTGTTCACTGTGAATACTTCTTGCACTTTGACTTTAGCAGTAATGAGTAGGAACGAGGCCTAAGCAAACTGTGCAAAGCCCAATAAAAATAACACGATTATGTTTACTCTTTCTGACACGATTTTATTCTTTTTAAAAATTGGACCAACTGGAAATATAAATTACCACAGACCACAGTTAAAAAAGCAAGATAAATTTTTTGTAGTACGAGTTAGATATTAGCAGTACCGCTTCCTGTTTTATTTTTGCATGATCTCCCTTACTCTGACTTGCGCAATGATTGTAAAATTAATTTTTTTTTTTTTTTTTTTGCACACTTTTGGATGACGTCATTAGTTTCCTTTCTTTTTTTTTTTTAAATATAGTTTACTGATGGATTGAACTCAACCTATTTCTAATTATTGTAAAATTAATTTTTTTTTTTTTTTTTTGCACACTTTTGGATGACGTCATTAGTTTCCTTTCTTTTTTTTTTTTAAATATAGTTTACTGATGGATTGAACTCAACCTATTTCTAACCATGACCCGCTAGAAACCTAATCATAATGTGTGTGTATAATGTATTTATATTAGTATTAAGCCTATATTTTTTTTAAAACTATTCAATAGTCTATTGTTTAAACAAGTATTTAAGTTTAGCAGCAAGACCTTACATATTTAAAACGATTAGAAGAGACCTTCAGACAAGTTATTCTATTATCCTTCTCTACTGTTTCTTTCAGTGTTAGATAATTCGTTATAGATAATTCGTTGCAGGGGGCATTTCAGATGTTCGGCTGGGCATCAATGTTCCCTCTAAGGTTTGTTGGTTGTTGGTTCGTGTACAAAATCATACAGTTGTGTACAAAGTTTTTCAGCATCAATTTTTTTGTGTGCAAAATTTTACACTTACAAGGAAATGTGCTGCGCGGATACTCAAAACTACTGCGCGGCGTCTGTGATATAGCTGCGCTACTAGTTTAAAGGGAACTTTGGTGGGCATTATGGGCATGGGTCGCAATCAGTGTTTCCGTCATGCATCGCTGCCGGGGTGTGTCGAAAAAAAAAGGGGGTGGGGGGGTGGGGATACAAGTACAACAATAAAACGAAAATATATTTTATAAACAACGACTGAATTGACATTTGTATAAAACGTTTAAACTGTTGCCGTTGCCTTAATCCGATTACAATTATTGAAATCTATGAAAGATCGCTACACACGATATATCTGATGATCAGTAGGGCCTATATTATTCATTTTAGGCTTAAATCTTTTTTTTTTTTTTTAAGGCGTATACTATATTATTATTCGGTTATAAATGTACTGTTTCAAAACTGGCCGCTCCTGAATGCTCCAATGTTCGCATATATCGATTCCCCCCTCCCCCCTCTTCTTCTATATTTAGAGGGCCAAAGATCAATGTAATGTAAAATATGTTTTCAAATTATATTTCATCATTGTCATCATCAAAGCATGAAATTTAAAGTAGGAATATGTGTTAATCATAAATAATATAATTTCATCGGTATCATACTTTAAAATGTATGATTATTAGCAGAAATCTAAAAAAAAAGGGGTTTTAAAACTAGCCTATTTCACGTACTAATATTTAGACGAGTCGTAGTGGGAATGCTTGAACTAAATATTTATTATTAGCCAAATGAATTTTACAAATAATTATATTACACAAATAATTAGGCTATTAATAAATTTATGCAGATTAATAAATAAATGTATTAGGTTATTAATAATTTTATGCAGATAAAATAATA